TTTTCGGGAAAAAGAGACAAGGGATGATGCACCTCAGACGACCCCGTAGGAATGAAGGTTATGGCTGGCACAGACGGGATTCGATCCTCAGTTGGACACAAGGGTCATGTGCTCAGAAATAGTCTCATTTGCCTTCTCAACAGCCCCCGTTCCGTTTTCTATTTTATTGAAGGTGCTGAATGTTCTTTTTGTCTTGATTGCAGAATTCTTATGGTACGCTCAAATCAAGCCATCGCATCGCAGTCACGATGTACCGAAAATATGCTGGAGGACCGAACATTGAGTAATTGATCAACAAAGTCAATTTTTATTGAGAGCAAGCTATTAATCAACGACGCAGTAGAGCAACATTTTTGATCAGCTTAGCAGAAGATAGTTACTTCTGTTGAATTCGCATGACCTTCGTTAGATTTCCATCCAAGTACTCCTGAAAAGGAAAGTTCACTTAATAAGCACAACGCGACAATTTTCTTCTTGGAGTCCTTCTCATCCGAAGGGCTTTCTTATTTCATCTTCACACCCAATTGTGCAATCGACTAAGCCTGTCCTTGTGTGAACGCTTTCCGTCTATTTGGCGGTCGATTAATCTGCAGCGAAAGCTCTATTTTCTACCTAAAAGTTGAAATAAAGTACAGCATACAGGGGTGGCCAAAAAAAGAGACACTTTGCCCATGGCGCACATCATCGAACTTTTCGTCGCACAGGGAGCCGATGTTAATGAAAGTTTTACGGCGGAATATTCCTTAGGTGTTCCCCCGTAAACAGAAGCAGGCCCTCCTTCACTGCCCCACCGTCTTCAGAATATGACGTCATCTGCCGTCACCGTCGAGCTCAACGAGGCTTACCGTAATCGCTCCGGCCTGAAGCTGCTACATAATTTCTTCAATGGATTAACTGTTGAATAGCTTCCCAGAGACATTAGCTGTGACTATGCAAACCGCTTTTGACCAGCGTTTCAGGGACGTCGTAATGGTCTATGGTACCTCGACGACCTCGTTGAGCTCGTACCGTGAACCATGTTTCCGTGGGAAAATCTTCTGATGTCGTCGGTGTAGAAGGCTGACATGTAGGATAAGAATGTGTTCTTGACTGGAATGTCGAGGATATTTGACGCGCAATAAAGAGAATTTTGAGGTGGTACCCATCATTATGTACCATCGTATCACACGGCTAACGGAGTGGCATCCACCAGTTGACACCATTGTGGCCCAAGGGTTAACCAAGAAACTCCACCTCTTCCCTCGGAGCGCGACCCCTCACTTCCATAACTACAATCGTTTCCAAAACACTAAACACAATTCTATGTTCGGCAATTCAAGTATGACGCTTGTTGAAAACTTATCAACAGATGGCTGACCGTGTCCCGAGCAAGAGTGAATGAGAACACAGCGGTATATCCACGATGGAGCAGGTGAGTATCAGAGTAAGTGCCACTGAGAGACATGACGTGGAGAAGTGACTGCCACCTCTGTCCCCGAGTCGCTTAGGACGGTGGTAGAGAATGGATGGAACCGTATATTTTTTCAGACATACGCACTTACAGGAAGAGTTCTCTACTTGGTTCTTTGCCGTTTTGCGTCCTGTTATCGGTGACGTAAAAAACAGCGCTCTGGTCGAGAGCGAAGAACGCTAGCCACCATCCGAATGTCGAGGTGACAGCGGTCAAAAGGAAGGCACGACACACTTGCGATGATAAGTATAACTCAACTCCCTCGCTGGCGTTGGAAATGGAACCGCCCTGAACTTAAGTGAAGTTTAGCTGAGCGCTAACGAAGGAGAATGCTACTTTGACATGTGCCTCAGAACTGCTGCAAAAATATTGGCTTGATGCATAATTATTGCGGCTTTTTCCAACAAATTTTATTCCGCAAAAACGAAAAAAATATTTAACAAAACATGTTTAAATGATTATTGGAGCGTAGTCACCATCCTTCAAGAATGCTTCCCATTTGCTTGGCAGTCGGTCGATTCCACGGGTGAAGAAGTCACGATTCTTGGAGACGATCCACGCTCTAACATCGGCCACCAAGTCATCCAGCTCGTCGTAAATTTGTTCGTTTGCCAGTTTTTCAACGACTGATTGAAGTGGTAGTCTGTAGGAGCTTCGGTCGGTAAATATGGCGTTTTGAACCTCTTGAACCATCTTTCAACTTGGCTTTTGCTGATTGTTCCCTCGCCGAAAAGTTCGTTGAGATCGCGAAATGACTCTGCCGCCTTCCAGCCTTTCTCAAAGTAGCAGTAGTGTATACAGGGTGGCTACTAAATATTGGCGCATGGATTGTTGACCATATTTTTAAAACGAGAAGCTTTTACATCTTCAGAGGTTTATCTTTATATACCTATAACATGGCAGTACATTGCTAAAGAAAGTGCTCGAAATGGCCTCTTCGGCAGCGATACAGGCTTCAAGTCTCTTTCAACTGACATCACTGTGGGCCGCAAGTAGCTGACGTCAAGCTCCTTCCACGCCTCCTCCAAGGAAGCCTTCAGGGAGTCCAAACTTCGACGTTGCTCAGAAGGCATCTTCTGCTTCAAGAAGCCCCACACCGCCAAATCAATTGGTTCAAATCGGGCGACTTAGATGGCCAAACATTTTGTGCCGGTAACTTGGAAAATGACGGTCACAGTTCTCCAGCATTGATTTTGCGGCATGTGGAGGCGCCCTGTCTTGCTGAAGAATGCAATGACGTTCGCTGAAGGTCAAAAGAGTCCTTGGAAGAAGGGCATCACGTGAAAATTGTTTCCGGGTAGATCTGGGCGCTGGCTTTGATGTATTCATCCACAAAGACAAGCGGTGTCATGGTTTCAGAAGTAATTCCTGCCCAAACCATGACAAATTTGAAAAACGGTTCCTTGTGTGTACACAAGGTCGAGCAGAATGTCTGCTAGCCAGATCCAACAACTGCCTGTCGTTTTGCAAATCGTGCGCCACTTCTGGTCTGAAGATCTACTCACGTCACGCCGACGTCAGCTACTTGCGGCCCACGGTGATGTCAGTTGAAAAGAGACTTCAAGCCTGTATCGCTACCAAAGGAGGCCATCTCGAGCACTTTCTTTGGTAATGAATTTTCATGTTTTATTGTATATGAAAATAAACTTCTGAAGATATAATAGCTTCTCTTTTTGGAAATATGATCAATAAACCATGCGCCAATATTTAGTAGCCACCCTGTATGTGATGAATATGAAAGGGCTTTTCGGTAAGCATTCCTGTTAATGGAAGAAAGAAGAATATTTTCACGAGAAAATAATAAGCGAAACGAATCTTTTCAAAAAACAGCCGCAGTAATTGTGCATCAACCCAATACTAAACAGAGGAGTAAAAGAAACTAAATACTGAATAAATAAACTAAATAGAAGAGTCTTTGCACGTACACCTTTTTCCCATTTCCCATTCTCTAACATTATCTTTGCCAAGTCTTGCATGAATACCTTGTCATCTCCAAATATCATAAAACGAAACGTTTTCTGAAAGTAAGCCTGTTCCAAGAACATCTATGTGGTGATTGTGGATCACTTACATAATCACCAGCAATTTGATCAGCCGCTTCCATTGTTTGGTTGACATCTGTAGCTATATTGAGCGCAACAAAATCTGTTCGTCGTGTATGTATGCAGACAGTACTGCCACGCTCCCTATAATGAAAGCTCCTCCATCGAAATTGTCTTCAGTCATCCCTCTGAAGAATTTACGACGGCACATCTTTTTTATCTCCATAATGTGGTTCCCCTCTTCACGAATGCTTGGTGAAAACTGCAGAAACTCGCGAAGTTCATCGAGATACTCCTCAAAGTAGCGCGGATTTTGCCCATACTGAAAATCCAAGAGAAGATATTTTGCAGAGTGATTCGAGAACCTGAAATTCTGGAATAGCCATCACACCACAAAGAGCAGCACTGAAATACAGAAACATCATAGGTAAATAAAGTTCATATATTGAGAAGCAGAAAGAAGCAAGGTGAGAGTACACGACGTACGAGGTTGCATTCGCTTTGTTGAGTAGGACTCCGCCCCTTTCACTAGCTCAATTTCGAATGCTTCATTTCTGAACTTTTTGGGAACAGCTTCCATTTCATGCATCGCTAAAGAATGCGTCCGTCGCTCTGTCTATTATAGGTGTACTATTCGTTTTATACTGGAACACTTGTCCTCCATTTCTGGAATAAACGAAGAAGAGACATCAGTCCCGTCTGCAGTCATGCGTTGAGTTGAAGAGAGTCACGTAACTCGTCTCTGCTATTTATTTCCGGGGCTAGTCTTTTTTATTTCCAGAGCCTCCAGTATTTTGCGTTCCACTGTGTTTTCAACGGAACGGTGTAAGGATACTGCGGTAAGGGTGGGTGGATCCCCATGGGCATGTTGTTGGATTCTATTAGGTTGAGGGGAAAGTTCTGAAACAGCGAAAATTTGAAATATATTTTTTTCTAAGATCTCTAACCAGGAAGGTCTTTCAGGGCGTGCCAAGCTTTTTGAAAACGGTCTTTTGCATGATATAGGGGCACATGCGGGAACCACAGAACCATGGTTAATTTTTCCTGAACGGCCCTCTGAATACCAGAAAAGGGGGTCCCTCGTGGTGACAAATTTTTGCATTTCGAGTTGACGTTTCAAAATTCGCGCAAAATGGAGTTAGCATGAATAATTAGTACCATATTCATGATTAGGACCGTCAGTAACCCTTACAAATAGACTTTGATTGAAAAACTGGTGTCTTCGTGTAAGGTACTGGACCCCTTCTAATCATGAATAGGCACGTTTAGGAAAAATGCTAGCTCCATTTACGTCCGGAAAGACCTTCCCGGTAAGCTATTGACCATCAGACTCAGCAACAATACGCCAACATTCGGCAATTGGCTGATTCCACATTTGTAGAAATTAGGAAAATTTCTGTCAAACAACCTTTGAAAAAGCAAGCGAGCAGGAAAGGAGGAAATTGTGTATGGATAGGTTTGACGAATATGGCAGACGGGCAACCGCGGTCCAGCCTAGCTTGAGAATCTTGTGGCTTGAGACCGAAGACCCGCGCCGTTGCGCGTTGTCGTGAAGCAGGTTGACTTGTCGCTATATTCGGCGAAGCTTTTCTGCAATCTTTTGAAGCAGCTAGCAGTGTGTAGCCCTTGCAGTCGTAGACAGATACAGATAATCCTGTAAGCAGAGCATCACTAGTGGGAAATACCGTAGAAATCCAAAGAATTTGACAGCATCACCATCTCCCCATAATTTTCAAGTCGAGGCATTGTAACCCCAGCTCCCCATCCTTCAAGCCGCTGCTGCTGTCGCATGTGGTTAAACGCATATGGCATGGGGCTATGAACAGCGCTCTTACTGGCAATAATATACCTCGATCGTTTGGAACTTAGTTGTGTGACGGCTGGAATAGCATTGTACAAGCGATATATTGACGATGTGTTCATTATTGGCTTTTCCACGAGGGATTTAGAAGACACGCTAAGAAACCTCAATTCACAAGATCCCAACATTAAATTCACGGTCGAAGAGCCAAATGAGGAGGGTTTTGTTCCGTTTCTCAACACCAAAGTTCGCATCAACGAAGGAGAGAGGAACTTCAATGGTACAAGAAACCTGCATCTAGGAATATACTTTTACATGCTAGAAGTTGCCACCCCATCTACATGAAGGCCAACGTCGTCCGCAATCTGATTTCAACCAAGGATAAAGTCTGCAGTCAGCCTTCAAGTGAAGTAGACATAATGGTGGAACATATTTTGAGAGAAAACGGATGATGGGATCATGATGATGCCGTATGTTAACGAAAAAACAGCATGGAAGGTCAACAATGTCGTAAGGAATTCCTCGCTCCCAGTACGACTTGTGTTCCGCCCACCCCCGAACTTGAAGCGACTGCTGACATACTCCAGACCTTACGAGGATAAATGTGGGAGGAATGGTTGCATCTACTGTAAGGACGACAAAATATGCCAACTAAGAGGTACAGTTTATGCAATAGAATGCCAAGGATGTGGGCATAAGTATGTTGGAGAAACAAGAAGACCTCTCCACAAACGACTTGATGAACATCGGAGGGCTCTACAAAATCCGGCCTCATATCCAGGTAACAGCTTCTCCAAACATAGAACCCAACAACATGCCCAAGGGGATCCACCCACCCTCAACGTAAAAGTCCTACACCGTTCCGTTGAAAACACAGTGGAACGCAAAATACTGGAGGCACTCTGGAAATAAAAAGACTAGCCCCGGAAATAAATAGCAGAGACGAGTTACGTGACTCTCTTCAACTCATCGCATGACTGCAGTTATCATCACTGTGGAATGAATGCGATATTTTGGGAAATAACGGTCGTAGCACGTCCAACGCTATTTAAGGGTAAGACAAGGGTAGGGAATATTTTCTTCATCACAAAAAAGTGAGTCGGTTAATATAGTTTATTAACAGAATTTAGAAGCTTCTACTCACTATTCATTTATTTCAGGCTTGACAAAGGCGCTAAGCGCCGAAAGCTCGCCAAAAAGGCCTAAGCTTTTGCAAAACTTTTGCAAACACACAATTTTGCAATTTCTTTTGTAAAAAGTTTTGAGTCTTTTGCAATAAATTTTGAAGTCTCACATTGTTTATTACACATTTATGAGACTGAATTTTCCTTTCTACTTTGAGGAAGAAAGAAAAGATCATGTTTCCTGAACTCAAAAGGAATCGAACTGATAAGTCTTCGTACGATACTTAGAGCAAGCGTGTCAAATAAAGCGAACAATTTTTCAGATTATGAGCGTAGGCAGCCATTTCATCGAAGATAAAGACACAGTAAGTAATAAAAGAATTACAAGAGTTGTAAGAACCGCTTAAGTGATAGTATCTATAAATTGGTCACAAAGCTTGTAAATGTGAATGTTGCAGCAAGATACTTCACCGGATGTTTTGCAGGAAATTATTTTTCCGCTGAAATTTGGCAGGAAAAGTATGAAGCAAGTCGCGACATTCTTGATCCACAAAAAACATGCTGTGCAGTTGTGACTTGGAATGCCCTTCTCGCAATGGTGAAAGCTTTGCAAACGAATAGGGTGGTGGTCGCAGTAGGAGATTGGAGAATTAATTAACGGTCTTGATCGAACCAAGCCTCCAAGGAGCTGTTAAACGGGTCTCTAAATTGGGCAATGAGGCTCTCAAATCTATGATTGAGGGAAAAAGTGCGAAAAAGTGATCGAGTGAGTGCCGTCTACTCCTTCCTACAGCTGCGCAGCTTCACCTCGCTTTTACAACCTTGTTCAAGGTAAATTAGCTGAGCGGCAGATACTCTGCTGCGAACATTAACAACTGCGAGTCTCCGATCTCTCCTCTTGTAGGCGAAGATATGGAGCAATTTATGTGACAGTCTTTATATGTTCAAAGATGATTGATGAACCGCTGCGCTACTGAATTTCAGTATCGATATTGGCGGAGACTTTCCCTACAACCCAAAATCTTAAATGATGAATCACCTTGGCTAAATTTCAAATCCGATTGTTTATCGCCATTCACTAAAATACTATCATCTACCAAAATATTGGGTTGTCCCATAATTCCTCTCCGATTTCGACACTTTCTTCTCATCGAGTTTTATCTTCCTCTAAAACCAATTGATCAAAAATATAACCATTATCATAATCACCGATATATCCATTCACCAGGGAACCTTTGGATGCTTTCCTCCTAGAATGGGTGAAGCTATGAGCTGAAGAATTCAGCAAGGTCGTTTTTGGAGTGGTTGTATTTAGTGACTTTTTTCTCTCGCCGCTGCTGCCTCAAGGCACTGTGAAAGGGGTAGCCCGATGGAGTGATGCCAGGGCTATACGATGGACATGGTATCGTGGTCCAGCCAGTTTCCCTCAGAACGTAGCGAGTTATCTTTGCAATGTGAGGTCGGGCGTCTATTCGGAGAAAGGGGATTTTGGGACGTTTAGGACGGTTCTCTCCCACTACTGCGGCCAACCCGGGAGCTGTTCCACGATGGCATTCGCAATACTTGTCCGCATATAGCAAAACGACTGTGAAAACGGAAGACCCACTCAATCTAACAAATCAAAAGCAATATTCCACGGAGTTTGGGCTTTTGTTGAGCTGGTGAGCCCTGGCTGCGAGGTAGCCATCAGGCGTGCTGCGTGTTGTTGTCGTAGTGAACTCATGACTCATCCCCACTAGTGATCAACTAGGGAACGCTCTGCTATTGAGGTCACAGAATGAAATTCCCCCAGAGGGTCAGACCTGCTTCTCGGTCATGGCTGGTCGGTGCATATGGTTTCCATCAAGTCTTCATTCTGCTGCTGCCCACTTCATCCTGATGGCGTGTGCTGGTGCATCGGCTGCGCCCAGGTGTCTGCTACAATACCCTGGTAGTAGCGTCCGTGTGCACTTCCAAGCCGTGGCGCAAGGGGTCCTCATCGAAAGTGAGTGGAGGCCCAGGATGAGGCTGATTTCACAGCTCGTATTGTCTTTGCCATTGCGACCGAACCTCTAGCTCAGTGACCGATCAGTAGCAGAGACTGAGCCAAACACAGCGCTGATCTTTTCTAGTGTCCTCCTTGCAACAGCGTCTATTTGAGGATCATAAAGCATAATCGTTCGTTATTGCCATTGATCCTATTTCGACTTCTACTCAGTTATTCCTGGGCGGGTTTGAA